GATGGACTTTTTTAAGGGTGAACATTCTCCTTTCAAAGACCGCAGGGCTAATCTTTTCATGTATGAGGATATAGTAGTCAGGGAGGTGTCAGTTGCTGCAACTTTTGATCTGCTGATACAGGTGGCTGTGGGAGTCTCAAGAAACGAGACCAGGAGCAGAGAGTGGAGTCCCACTGCCCCCCAAGAGCCAGGCTCAGTCGCATCTGTTTTCTGGCACCAGGTGTCTGAACTCTATGAAGAAGACAAAGCTACAGGTGGAGTCAGGTTGGATAACTGCCTATTGCTCCTCACCTCCAATTCCTTGCCTCAACTACCCACCAATTATGTGAGGCCTGCTGAGGGTTTATTCCAAACAAGGAACATTCCACTTGAACCTATAGCTGAGCTTCCTATGAAGCCGGACTGTGACCCTCCTGAGGGAACACATAGTGACCCACAGACAAAGGAGGTGAAATGTCTCTCCTATAATGAGGCTCCTCTATTCCACATGTGGGGAAAGATCACCACACAGCCAGCCACTGCTATTAAAGAGTTACAGTCCTCAAAAATCTGTTTGAGGACAGAAACATATGTCTCACACTCTTGAGATGGGGTGGAGGATATCTAGATGAAAAGTAAAATTTATTAACAGAAAAACAATTTTTTAAGAATGTGTCAAGATAATATTTTTTCTGCTATTATGGTATATTTCCTGTCCCAGTTTTTCCTTCTTTCCATTCCCCCTATTAAGACAAATAAAAGATAGTCTTTATAGTCTCAGAGAAGGGATGTAAGATTTAAAAAAATAAATTAAATATCTAGGACAGAAACATGAGGGAGAAAAATGCCTGGAAACTTGACAAAGTGTCCTTGAATCAGAGGGATGGGAGGAGAAAATGGTGTTGCTTTGAATAACTTTCTGAGAATACGGCTGAAGACAAATAGGATCTTGAGCAGTGTCCCAAAGGGAATCCCAGGTTCTAAGAGTAGCAGAGAAGATGAAACGTTTGCCTAGACCTTAAAGGCCTTGCTGACTAAATCAATTAACATCCTAGCAGTATCCTATATGTCCCTCTCCCCATTACCATATCACCTTATTGCCACAGCATCTCTCAAAGACATAACACAACCCTGGAGAGGATTAATGAGACTGATGCTAGGATTTCCAAACACAGTGTGACAGAACATGGGGAGAAAGAGAAGTTTCATTTCTTGGACTTCTTGGAAAAGAAGTTTATGGTGTGAAGTGTATAACTGGTATATTTTATTCTATCATCCCTAATATGGCTAAATGCACTATTTCCCAAAACGTTTTTAGGGTGAAAATGGGGATTCCTCAGTTAAACAGTTCTGTAAAATGCTGGGCAAACTGTTGAGTTATTATTTCCATTGTTCATGAAGCAAGGAGTTGTTAGTTGATCAGTGCTAGAATTGGCCTGGGAGCCACAGCAGAGAAACAAAGATACCAAAAGTCCATGCTCTGAGTTCAGGAAAAGCTGGTTTGGGGGGCCAACCACCATTCTGAAAGGCATCTTGAGAGGTGGCATTCAGCAGAACCAGGTGAAATGGTCCAGGACTTCCCCTTCTCCAAGTCACCTGTTTCCATGGAAGAGTGAAACTCAAGAGTTGGCCTCAGTGGGTAGATGACATTGGGGTTTTAGCCTTGCAAGGGACTGTGACAACATAACACAGAGAAGCACATGCTTCAGAGGAAAACAATGTGATATTGCCAGCTACCAGTCAGCAAAAACTTATACCTGAGTTTCCGATGGGCCATCAAAGCTAGGAGCTGCTGGGAGTGAATCCCTTAATAAAGCCACCACTTCTTTTACAACAAGATGAGGAGAATAACCTGAGCAGAAATTATAGTCACTCGCCAAGACAGTCTGTTAAACAGACATTGGTATTTTCCTTTTCTCTTCTGCCCCGTCGGCAGAGGAAAAAAACATTATGATGAGGAAGAAAAGTAGAATGTACGTAAAGACAGACTATGTCTTGTCTCTCTGTCTCTCTTTTTATGTTAATGATCAAGGACATTTTGGAGTTGCCATGTTAAAGCTAAATATGTTTCATTACAGCACTGCTTCTTGGAGCATTTAAAAATAAGAAATGAGAAAGAGACCATTTTTCACAATGTATCCCAAACTCATTTAAGTCACACAATACTTTTTTTAAAGAACATGGTATAAAGGGCTAGTGTACTGCTGAATACCTTTTGAGAAATGTTAGACTACTTGTCTATACTCAGTCAGCAGCAGGGTAGGGGTTCACAGAACACAAAGGAAATATCCAAATTTATTCCAACCCAGTGGTTAAATAACATCCATATTTCTTTAAAAAAATATAATTAGGCAAGTGTTCTTCTCTTTAAAGATGAAATGGTAGTAAATATCAAAAGGTTGAAAATCCTTTCATCTATGTAGAGGCTACAAATGTTCGAGGCTTCAGCAGGTTATCAAGTGTTTAAATGACCCTGTTTTCCAGAACAAAACATTCTGGAGAAATTATTTCTCTCTGAGCCTTTGGCTGCTGTAGAACAAGATAAACAAGTTTTATTGAAGGAGAAAAAAGGTAACTTGCATTTCAGGAAGTAAACATGTTATTCAAAAAAGTAAGCAAATTTATCTTCAAAAATGTCTATCTAATTGTATTCTGAACTCCAACATTACCAATGCATTCACATTTCTACTTGCTTCTCTTGGCTTCTCCACCCTTTCCTTGAAACACATGCATTTTTAAAGATTAAAATTTTTGTACCTACTTATCCCCCAACACACATACACACTATACACACACCCCTGTTTATATCTTTCTGTAAAAATACAAGGTCATTTCTTACCATTAAATATTTCTCTAATACATATCAGTTGTGTTTGGTTTTGTTCTAGCTTTGGCAAACATAAAATTAAAAGTGACTATTAATGATTGAATTCCATAAAGGGGAGACCTAATCAATGTAAAGCTCTCTTTATTTTGTCTTTGTTTAACTTATATACACCAGAGTTAAGACACTTGATGTACAACCTTGTTTGAAAAACCTAAAATCAAACTACAACAGTGAATTTGTTCTCATTTTGAATTTTGGCCATTAAATGAAAATTAAATGACATACATAAATCACACTTTTCAATTACTTGCATTGTTTCTTTGTCCCCACAAAATGCACACAACTCATCTCAAAAAAAAAAAAAGAGTTATTGTTGGAAGGACAAGTACGTTTGTACCTAAAGTCAAATTGGTTTTTATCGGTGAGTGACATGTAACTCTGAAAATTGTCAGTATAATTTTAGTAGGTGGGATTAAGAATCTCAACAGTTGCCAAGAATAATAAATCATACCACATTTTGAATGTGTTCATGTCTCATTTTCAGCCAAAAACATTAGAGGTGCAATGCAATGTATGAGATAATTAAACATTATCTTGGGACAACCTTCAACTCCTCTTTCTAGAACCTCTGTCCCTCCACGTAGTCTCAGCATCTAAGCCATCTTTCTAAACTGAGTTGTATTCAACACACAGGAAATGGCAATATTTCAGACATAGGGACTGCTTTCCCACTATTTCTTCATCATACCACCAATATACACAAGGCAGGATCCAGTGATGTCAATAAAGATGGAAATGTACTTCACAGTTTGTTTATCACTTGTTGTTTCTTATGCTTTTAAAAATTTGCTCCATAATTTTTATAATTTGCTATAGTAACAATTCAACTTATTTTGATAGTCAAAAAATAAAACACCATTGGAAAGAAAAGCACTAAAAAAATTATTATCCAAACTGGCTTCTTATCCCCGCAATGACGGATTTTTATGACATTTTTAAAGCAGTAACGGAAAAAGCAAAACAGCAGGTAGCCAGCTGGCATATTGAACAAGTTCAATAATATTAGGTTGAACATATGAAATATGTTCATATGAATATGTATGAAATAACAAAGCACGTAAATTTTTTTTTTTTTTTTTTGAGACGGAGGGTCATTCTGTCGCCACGTTGGAGTGCAGTGGCCACGATCTCAACTCACTGCAATCTCCGCCTTCCGGGTTCGAGTGATTCCCCTGCCTTAGCCTCCAGAGTAGCTGGGACTACAGGTGCGCACCACCACGCCCAGCTAATTTTTGTATTTTTAGTAGAGGCGGGGTTTCACCATGTTGGCCAGGATGGTCTCGATCTCTTGACCTCATGATCTGCCCACCTTGGCCTCCCAAAGTGCTGGGATTACAGGCATAAGCCACCACGCCCAGCCACAAAGCACATAAGTCTTATCTACACTGACTTGCTGATGCCCCTTCAGACCCCAAAGGTAAAGATGCCCTGTGTAAACCAAGGAGTTCCTCTAATGGCTGCGCTATTTGATGCTGATATGGTAGCTACTACTTACAGAAGTGTCTTCTATGTACAAGGAATTTTATATTATCTATCTTATTTAATCAAAACAAATAAAATATTGGTATATCCATTTTGCAAATAAAGACATGAAAGCTCAACGAAGTTAGGTAACTTGCCAAATTCACACACTGAGGAGGTCGTGATGCTCTTCTTTGAACTTAGTTTTGTCTAACACTCAAAAGTGGGCACATGACATCCACTCCCACTTATCATGTAAGTTAAATTTTGCTGAAAAACCGTCTGTTTTACTATGTTTTCAAGGTGTCAACTTGAAATTAAAAATAACTACTTCCTCGTTCACTGCTATTAATGTTATGAGGAAAAACAAACAGAAAAACTGTAGTTGAAATACATGAGTCCAAGATGAGACTACTAATTGCAAAACTTTGCTAACTAAAAAGTAATATAAAGTAGAGAACAGTTTAAATTTCTTCTTCACTGTCTGGTTTCCTCTAACCCTGGTTAGATTGTCACTTAAAGTTCTTCAAATGGCAGGTAATGGAAACCAGCCTAAATAACCTTCATTTTTTAAAAAGTACTTTTTGTACAGGCTCTGACAAATCTAACAGAGCTTAATGGTTTTTTAAAAATGAAAACTTTCTAGGTGTCAAGCGGAGCCTGGTGAGTGTACCTTTGAGGCTTGCCCTTTTCTTTAGATCCGGTTCTTTACAAGAGCAGCCAGGAGTGCTTCTGCGCATCCTGCAGACTGGCCCAAGTGTGATTTGTCAAAGAAGGTACATATTACACTCCCTAGAAGAGTATCTAAGAAAGGAAATACAGGGAGCTTCAGTATACATTTCAGTCAAATAGGCATACACTTTATTAACTCATCAATTTACCAAAGTAATCTCACTAAAATATTACAGCACATAGTTTAAGGAAGCATATGTTCAAAATCTCCACTATCACGCAATACTTTATAATTTTCTTAGAGTTAATGTAGGACATTTATGTTTCCACTTAAATGACAATGAAATGATTTAATTTGAATCTTTGCCATCCCTGTGTTGCCTATGTTATTTAATATCACCATTCTCCATATTTTATCAATTCTACAGTGCACTTTTTCCCCCTCATTTTCACATCTCTGGAATCAGGATGTGACTTAAATTGATGACATCTTGCAATTGTTGTTGGCTTAGGACACAGTTGTAATATAGTTTTCATTGCTAGTACAAGCATGAATGTCGTACTTATTCCAGTTGATATGGCTGAACAATGGTAATTCCTTGATGTTTTAGTCAAGAAAAATTCTAAGAATTGCTTGAAGTCATATAACTCCTAGACATTGTCTAAAAGCTTTCTTTTGACACCTTCTCATAAGTCAACAAAGTGCCAACATCAAAGCTTACAACTTCAAAGAAAATCTCAGAAACAATAGTGGAGAACTCTTGTTGGCACTGAGGACAATAGTATACGGAAAAATATGGATTTTGACAATTCTGTGTAAAAGACTTGTAAGAATTAGATTCTGAATGTAAAAGTGTTTTAGAAATATTTTAACTGATTTATTTTGCTTACATTTTCCTTTCCACGAGAGTGAAATATGACTTCTAAAACCTCTGTCTAAATAAATCTAAAATAGCTCTTTCAGGTGGTTCAACATAAAAATTCTAAGCAATAAAGTATTATGTCAGAGTTTAATCTTAGTGATACACAAAATAATGGTGCATTTTACAATCAGGGGTGTCTTCAATCGGTACTAACCTAAGCTAAAATGATCGGAGGCTTCTGCAACATCTTCACTCTCTGTGCCCAGTTAAATACAGGACCCTATCAGTGTTGCTTCTGGAATACAGTTTTACTCTGATAATTCTTCTCCATTCCCATTGCTTTTCCTCTAATGATAGTCCTCATAATTTCTTCCCAGATTATTACAATAGTCTTTTGTAGATCTCTTGGCCTCTGTTCTCTTCTCAGAGCAATACATTCTTCCCAATAACTGAGTGATTTCCATGACGTGCAGTTATATTCAGGTCACTATTCAGTTGCAAGCCCTCAATAGCTCCCCATTTCTTAAGGCATAGCTGGTAAACGAATTGTAAACATGTCTTCTCCCCACATGCCCATGGTTTTTTCTCCTTTCATTTATATGTTCAACGAAGGCGGGGTCTACTTTGCCATTCCAAGTCGTTTTCATAGTACTGGCTCATAACATATTCTCACTAAATTTTTGATGAGTGAATAAATGAGCCCGATATGCTTCACAATCCATCTAAACACTAAACTCCAGACAGCAACTACCTGTCTACCTGTCTCTAATAGTTGTCATTCAAGGTTGACTATTCCAAACCCACAGGATGAAGTCGTAAACTCTTTAAAACAGTAATCGAGAGTATTCAGTCTTCCCTCTATGTTCTTTCATAATCTCATCTCTTGTCCCTCTCTGTCATGCATGCTTTTGCTCCAACCGCATCAGACCACTTAACATTTCCTGAATAATCCTGCCAAAAGTTATCACTTCTTCTGTGCTCCCCTTATACTGCTAACTTAGCATTGCTACACTGAGTTAATTGTAGATGTGTCTGTTTGCCCTCTAGGAAAAGACATTATGCCATAATCATTTTTTATGTCCCAAATACATAGCATCATTTCCATCAGAAAATGTGCTGAAGTTAAATGTTTATGGATGTCTGTATCTGCTTCCCAGGGCTGCCATAACAAATTACCACAAACTTGGCAGCTTAACACTACAGAAATGTATTCTCTCACAGTTCTGGAGGCCAGAGGTCTGAAATCAAGGTGTCAGCAGGACTGCACTCCCTGTGAAAGGTTAGGAAAGAATCCCTTCTCATCTTTTCCAGCTTCTACAGGCTGTAGGTTTTTCTTGGTCTTTGTCTTCACATAGCTTTTCCTCTTCTCTGTGTGCCTCTCGTCTGTGTGTCTCTGATAAGGACACTTGCCATTGGATTTAGGGCCCATCCGGATAATCCAGGATAATCTTATTTCAAGTAGCTTAGCTTAACCACATGTATAAACAGCCCTTTACCAAATAAGGTCTTGTTCACAGATCCTAGGAAGGGAACACATCTTTTTTGGGGAGCCACCAGTCAATGCACTAAATCACTTTCTAGCACACATATTTTCCTCACAAATAATTCTAAGGCTGTAAAAGCAATAAAATGTAAAAGTAGATCTCAAAGGGACCACACACACACACACACACACACACACACAGACACACACTTCACACATTTTGAATAATGTGAATACGTACTCACTGTTGCTTAAATCTCAGGCTAATGTTGCCATTTTACATTAATGCATTTTTTACTAATGTTAGAATGGCAGCCTTTCCATGGCATGTCATTAAAATGCAAATAAGTGATTCTATTACAGAATATAAACTATGATCTCATCTCTCCACATTCAAAGTGAATAGGTATCACATTCATTCACTTTCCAAAGACAAGTCAAATATATATACATATGTATATGTATATGTGTATATATATATGCCTTAGTGAGGAAAAGGCTAGTAATATATACATATTCTTCATCTTTCAGTGAAGCTTCTAGGCACCTATACAGTCTAGAGCTTGTTGTGATGCCCCTTCTAAAATGAGACACACATTGTAATGCCCACCACAAAGGAAGAGGCACAATTTTGTGGATCTCTGGATATTGGAAGTCACATATATTAAGTTTGAACATATTGCTGTAACTTATTTGTTGGTAATCCATAAGGCAGTTTTGAGTGATGTCAAGAGCATTTCCTAACAGGTGCAGCTGCAGTGTAAACTGCCTTGCCACCCAGGCATTAGGAGCCAGAAGACCCATCTGTATTCAGAGAGTCTGTGGCAGGAAGAGAGGATCTATGGAATACCTGGCAACCCCTGATAGGAAAGCCCTTAGGGTTTTTTAGTAAGATCATATCCTCTTGATTTAACCATTTTCCATTTGCAAATCAGCTCCTAGCTTGCTTCAGCAGAGATTTAAGACTTCACCAATGGACTTTCAGTGACTATGCAATTTGAACCACCTACATTATGATCTACAATTACTAAATTGTATAGTACAGTGATGCTCCAATATTAAATGAAAAATGGAATGTAAGATTGAGCTTTAGCATATCTGAGGCTCTACTAAATTGAATGAATGTGTGGCTCAGTATCCCATGGATTCTGCTCCTAGTGCTTTGCCCACTTTTTGCTTAACTTGCAATCAGGGCTCAGTATAGCAGGCTGACATGTTCCAGAAAGTAGATAACCAGTGATTATAGCTCTACTTAGAGGTGACCCTGAAAGACAGAATTAAGGAAAGTCCTCCAAAGGAACAGAACACCTAGTTGTCTAGTTGGTAGGGAAAGAGAGATGGCTGCAGGTACAGATTTATGTTGCTTCATAAGAGCAGCCAATAAGGTTATTAGTTGGTCAGGGACATGGAAAGAACAACATTGAAAAAATAGTAACAAGGAGGAAATAGGGAGGGACATGTGGATGAACTTCTTGGAACAGATATATTCCATGCAATTGTCACCAGAGGGCATTCACTGTGGAGAAAGATTTTAATCAATAAGTAAAAACGCCTGACCCATGGATATTAGTCAATTTTTAATTCCAGCTACTCTTAATGCTTGTTGAATGGGCCTATGAACAAAGGTCCCACAGGGTGAGCACAGGGCCTTGCATGAACTCAACAATATGGATTTTCCTTCACTAAGGCTAAACACTGACTGCCCCATTCCTAGCCCCACACACAGTCTCTTAATTCACTCCTGAACTTCACATCCTCCCTGAGAGATAGGCCTACCATGGCAGATAAAAAAAGTTGATGCAACAGAAAGACTAGTGCTCAGAAGACAGCTTCTAACCACTCTACATGTGTGTGCAGCATCTTCTCCCTCTCCCCATTATTTCCTTTAAGTGATATAGTGTATAGATTATGGCTATCTGGGATTGGTTTTCTACTTATTTCATAATTTACATAGAAGATAATAATTCATGTCTTTTTAGAAGTGAGGCATTTTAAAGGAAGCTAAAAATCTCTGCTAAGCTGTCATTTAAAAAAATGTATTTGACTTGCTGCTATATATACTTGAAAAATAAAGTTGCAGAATACAAATCTCTACTGATTTGGACATTGAAGGTGCTTCAAATGACCCTCTTAGCTTTCCAAAGTCCATGCTCTGACCCTATCTTCATGAGAATTTGAATGCCTTTATTAAGCAAATTTAGAAGAGCTTAGATTTGGACACACCATCTTAGAAGTTATCTAGCTGATTGGTTTTTTACAAATAGGAAATTGGTTATTTACAAATAGGAAATTTGAATCTTAATCAGATACTCTAACTGATGAAGGTCATACGGACTTCAAAATTGGGGCTGAGACCCACTCTTCTGATTCCAGACTACCCAGGATAATTTAGATGGGAATGTTTGCCTGGCATCCCTAAATCATACTCTCCTATTTTCATAAACAGACTAACCAATATAATTAGCCAATTAACAAAAAAAAAAAAAAGAAAGAAAAGGAAGCACGTGTTTTTATTTGGAGATGAGAGCATCCAGTTTCACATCACTACTGAACACATAAGAGTATCCTTTTTCTTTCCCTTAGTATATACTAATAGTATGTGTTCACGTGAGAGTCTGATGTGACATCTGTCAGCAACTCTACCCCTTCAGAATTCAAGTTTTCTCAAATCAACAGAGCTATCCATGAAGTCTAGTGGTAGGTGGGTACAGCTCATACATTTCATTACCAGGAAGTTAGAATTTGACAAGAGGTAAGGGAGACATGCAGTCACTGTCACTTTTGTC